GAGTTACTGAGGAGTAATGATGTCAGTTGGAGGACTAAGGTGCATCTGAGTCAAGCCATAGCCTTTCCAATCACTAGTTATGAATCTGAGACCTGGATAATGAATAAAGATGACAGAAAAAATAATTGATACCTTTGAGCTATAGTGTTGAAAAAGAACACTGAACATCCCATGAATGGCCAGGAGAATAAACAAATAGCCCCTCCTAGCAACATGCTTAAAGTATATCCTATATAGAGAAGTCTGTAGTTGCCTTTGAAAATCTTATTCTGTTGTTGTTGTCTAGGATGACTCATAGCAACCCTATCAACAGTAGATCTGACCCCAGTCCTTATATAGCCTGTGTGTCCTCACCGTCCCTGACACACTGTAGCCCTTTGTAACAGTCTGTTAATCTACCTCGTTGAGTATCTTCCTTTCTCTTGCTGACCCTCCACTTTGATGTCCCTCTCCAAGGAATATCCTCTCCCAACAACATGCTAAAGGTATGTGAGACAGAGCTTCATCATCTTTGCCTCCAAGGAGCACTCTGGCTGCACCTTCTCCAAGACCTACCTGTTTGTTATTTTGGCAGTTCCTGGAGTATTCAGTACTCTTCTCCAGTGCTACAACTCAGAGACATCAATTCTTCCATATTTCGGGTGATGAAATATTAATCAACATAAGGATTACATTTCAATCTAACTGACCAGGTTTCATTCTTTTAATATAGGAGAGCTGTATATGCAATGCATTGAGCATGTGATAATATACAGCCCACAAGTTGTGCACAAAACCAGGGAGCAACATTTGACAAGGATGTTAGCAAGTCAAGTCTAGTATGAGGTATGATCCAGAAAGACTCCTAATGTCCCTTGCTTTGGTGGCTTAGTGGTAAGGAGTTACGCTGCCAACCCAAAGGAACATGATTTGAATCCAGCATCTGCTCTGCAGGAGAAGGATGGACAGTCTCCTTCCCGTGATTTACTGCTTCTGAAAACCTGCTGGAGGTTTAGCTATGAGCCTGTTCCGACTCGACAGTACGTAACAACTTGCTCTAAGACTCCACAACTTTGCATTTTAGGAAGTTGCTCCATATATTGATTTAGTGGAAAGCAGACTTTAAACCAGCCAGCAACAACAAAACAAACAAAATCCCGAAAACATGCAGTGAAGCTGTTCCCTATTAGAGCGATTCCATAGGGTTTCCAACACTGTAATCCTTAACAGAAGCAGACTGCCACATCTTTCTCCTGTGGAGCACCAAAGCACTGTGCCACCAGGGCTCCTTTCTTTTTAACTTTAAGCCAAGCCAACCCATAGTGACCCAGTAGGACAGAGTAGAACTGCTCCGTGGGGTCTCCAAGGCTGTATATCTTTGTGGACTTAGACTGCCCCATCTTTCCTGCAGGGCTTGTAGTTCAAATCATGGGCTTATGGGTTAACAGCTAAACACTTGGATCACACAGTCACCTGAGTACCTTTCCATAAAGATGACAGCCGAGGACACCCAATGGGACAGTTCTGCTCTGTAACACCTAAGGGTCAGAATCCATTGCACACTTAAGAGTGCACTGAAACAACCGTGACACTTACTTGGAAGATTTGCATGTGGAGAGTACTTATCACAAGATGTAAAAAATTAGTCACACCCATCAACAAACAAATGGATAGAGAAGCTATGGTATATTCATACAATGGAATACTATGCACCATTGAAAAACAAGGAACTCTTCCCAGAAACACACGGTTCGAATCTACCAGTTGCTCTGCTGGAGAAGGAGGGGCAATCTCCTCCTGTACCAGTCAGATCTGATTTGACGGTACACACACACACACACAAATAAATAAATAAATATAAAAAACAACACAAGGAACTCATGAAATGTTATGCAAAATGGATGACCCTGGAAGACATTATACTGAGTGACAGGACAAATATTGCACAGGGCCACTGTTGTAAAATGGGACTGACATCGGGGTTGGGGGGAAACTAATAGGGGATAAATAATGTATACTGCATTGAAACAGATGAGGGAGAGTACTGTTTTAAAGGGATGTATGATTAGGTATTATTGTCATGACAGGAGTCCAGAATGAAGGCTGCATAGTGGACTTGGGGAGAGAGGGCTTGCATAACAATGAAAGAGTTTTACTTTTCAAGAAGAGTGAATCGGGGGTGAGGGGATGGTCAGGGAGAAAAGTGCAACAATGAATGACTGGAAACCCTAAGTCTTTGTAAACTTTCATTAAAATTAATTTTTTTAAAAAAATAGTCACAGCTAGGAATGCAACACAATTCTAAAAGCTATAGTTTATGGAAAGCAAATCCCCCCTCCCAACTAAAACATTCACACCCACTCTGAAAGCTTCTCGTGCTGCATACCTATCAGTGAACTGACGTGCTGGCTAGTGAGTGGTGAAATGGGAGAGAAGTTTCATCGGCTGGGCTAGTGGTTCTCCAGCTTTAAGGGACAGCAGAATCACGGTGGCTGGCCTCACCCACACAGGTTCTAGTTCATTATGTCTGGAACGAGGCCCAAGAACTTGCATTTCAGACAAGCGGCAGGTGATGCTAATGCTACTGGGCCTGCAACCGCACCTCAAGAAAGCACTGTGGGCTGTTGAGAAGAATAAAGGCCTTTTCAGGCAGCTAATCTGAGTAACATTTCTACCGTTTTCTAGAACACTATTCTATTTTCTGGCCCTCAAGGGAGGGACCTTTGGGGAAAAGGCCTGCCTTTGCACCTGTACAGTGGGAAAGGTGTAATAGGCTCGAAGAGTTGGTTGGTCCATTTGCTTATTCTTCAGGTTGCCCATTTCCCTTTTCTATGCAGAAAGCCCAGAAAAGCAGCAGCCAGCAGTAGTAAAAGAGAAAGAAAAATGAGACAAAAGGAAAATGAGAAGGCCTCAAAATAAATCCACAAAACACACACATAGTTTGAAAAACTAGACTATTGGCTTTAACCACAAGCCTCAAGGAACCACGTGGTGATGGGTTTGGGGCTGGAGGCATTCAGATGGAATCTCTTGTTACAGGAGAGTCTCCCAAAGGCTTCAGTTTATTCAGGCCTTGTTTGGCAAAACTATTTGGGAGTCGTTGCCAGCCTCTGATTTGCCCACCCAATGTGAGAGGAGTTGGGGTTTGGAGCACTGTTTCATTCTGACAGGCTTGCCAGCATGCCCTTGAAGTGAAGGTGGCACCTTTTCTCTCCTGCTCCGTGTTGACTTAAAAAGCAGTTCCTTATTTGATGTGGTCCTTATATTTTGCTTAGGTATTTATTATATTTCCGGTTTAAAAACTTGATAGCGTCAGGTGTTTATTTTTTTTTTTATACGGGGCAAGAGATTCTTTAAGAATGATTGATGTCACAGATTAAGCGTTAGCTCCTGTTCATTGCATTTCTTGGAAAAGATAAAAAAGCCCAAAACAAAAAATTGCAGGAGAAAGCAGTGTCGTCATTTGTCGTTAAGAGATTAAAGTCTGTAATGCTTCTGCTGTGTCCAAAAGGTTTAAATCTGAAAATAGCCAGGTATGCTTATAGGTCATTTTTTTCCAAGATTTTTTTTTATTGTCTTATACTAGATCTCTTCAGGATTTGGTATAAGACAATAGAGGGGAAAAAATATCTTATAAAATAAGACGGCAAATAATAACAATACACCAAATTTAT